TTTTCCTTATTTCTCAAAATATTTCTAACTTCATTTCAATATTAAAAATCTTCTCAATATCAAATCATTGTAATCAATTATTATCTTAACCTACAAATAAAAAATGCAAGTCAAAGTGCTTTTAGATATAACAAGTGAAATCAATAGGTTACCTAATAATGAAGAAAATAATACAAATGAGATTCACTGGTCAAAATACTCCATTTCGGCTAAAAATCGAATGGTTGGTTTTGGGTCGAATTACAAATTAAATCTGGCTGGTTAATTTAGTCAAAATTTGTGCTGATCGTCACGTTTCGCCTGCCACTTGATTATGATATTTGGAATATAATCAGCATAACGAATAGCAGAATTCGGGGTTAAAAAATATATTCAAATTTTAAACGAATTTTAAATGAACTTTAAATGAATTTTATTAAGTGAAATAAGCGAAATGAATTTAATATTAAATTTACTATAAATTATAAAATGAATTATATGCTAGTAGTCTTCTTCATATTCTCCATACGGATCACCATCATAATAATCTCTATATTTATCATCATTTTCATAATCTCAGATTTCGCCTATAGGAGATATTTCACTTTCTTCAACTGCTTCGTTTAGTGATTAATTTTGGGAGGCTTTAAAATAGGTCTCATAATCCATATCTTGTTCTTTATAGGCCCAATCAGGAGCATCGTTAGGGTTAAACAACTTGTAAAAGTAAAGTTCATCATTATGTTGACGATCTCTTGTCAGTTTGAAAGTTTGCAACGTTAGCGAATGAGGGTCGATTATGTTACGTAAAAAATTTTTTAGCTAATAAAAAATGATATTAGTTTTGACAATTGTGAATTTCAAAACAAGAAATAAAATGTATCGATCAAACCTCTTCCGACCCCTAAGAAAGTTCGTAAGTGTTGATATTACGCTTTGTATTTGCAGAATTTTCATCGTCCGTTTCACTAAGCTCCAGAGAATGATAGCGGTTATCTTGTAATATCTTTAATATTTCTTCTCGGTCATATTTTGTTACTCGATTATCTTTCTTTTCGAAAAGGAATTTGGCACCTTTTATACGTCAAAATTTTTTTTATATTTAATAAAATAAAGTTAATAAATAATAAATAATTTTAATAAAAATGTAACTTTATTTACCTCATTAAGTCGACTGTTACTGTGTAAACGACGATTATCTTTATCGAGCTTACCATTTTTTTTATAGTTATATCGGCTTCTTTTGTACCTATGTAAAGCCTGTAGCCAACTCCTTAATTGACTATAAGAAGGGTTGTATCTTGGCTTCATTGCTTTTATCAATTCTGGTATCAGCTTTCGTAAAATTTCATTATTTGAATCACTTGTAAATCTTTCGTCATATTTCATTTCGTTTTCGGCCAGCAAGATTTTAAGAATTGTCTTCATTTCAAACTAAAAAAAATATAATCTTGTAAAAGTTGCTAAAATCAGTATAACAAGTAAAAATCAATAAATTTTCGAACCCTTACACCATCTACATCCAATTCCTCTTCATCATCACTACTTCTAATCGGCTTCTTTCCTTTAAATTTTTTTTTGGATTTTGACATTTAACTCTTTGAGTGGTATTATAATCTGATTTATCATCCAATTCAAAATTAGCTTGTGAGTTAATTTCATCTTCTGAACTCCTAGCAGTCGACTGCAAAGTCCTTAGCAATCAAAAGGATCTGTTTCATTTAAGTTCTTTATGCAATTTATCCTATTCCTTTCCGAATTCCCCATTAATAAAAATTAAAGCTTCATTTTCCTGGCACAGTTTGTCTAACTCTCCGGAAAGTGCTGCATTTTGACTTTGTAACTTCTGGTTGTCTTTTTGTAATTCAACAATTCGTGCCTGTAACTGAACAACTTCTTTTTAAAAGCATAAATAGATAAAATTCAGTATATTATTAATATTATAAACATAAAATTTAAAATAAAATCTGTACCTGTATCGTCAACATTTCTGTTTGGTAAACTTGAAGTACTTTTTTCTTTAACAGGAGGTAAATGCAAACTCGTAAGCAAATATATGTTTTGCATCAATCAGATTTGGCTAAGGTCTCTTTCTTTATTTTGCTTACTAGAAGTGGCTGGTGTAGTTTGTCTAGAGTTAGTTCCTTGACGAATTGTCTTTGTTAGAATTTTTTAAAAAAGAAAGTGTTAGCATCGGTTCTATTTAATATGAGCGAAAACTAGTCGAAACCTACCAGAAGTAATAACAGCAGGTGATTCTGAAGTAGGTGCAGTTGGTCGAGACTTGTTTCTTTGATGAGCTATTTTTTATATTTTTATATTTTAAAAGTAAAGGAATATATAATCTTTCGATATTCTTGTATTAACTTGAACGTTAAATTGTGACAAGTGTTTTGAAAAAGCCAAATGGAAAATGGGCTTCTTTTATATGATCGAATTTCAATAAACTTTAGAAAGCTTAACTATATAGACTAAATACAAAATATACTTTCACATGATAATACATTAGAAATAAACTTTTTGAAACGAATTTTTAAACTACAACGCATTCATGTATTTTATAAAATCAATTTTAAAAGAACCAAAAAATAACAAGAAAAAGATCAATATCGAGTGTAATTCATGAAGAGTCAACTACTTCTCAACCAAATACTGAACCAAATAGTAGAAGTAGGTCGAAAGTTTCCTGTTTTTGCAGCAAATGTAATGGAAGTTTGGTTGATCCACGTACAAAAAGATTACATATGTTAAATGAGCAAAACAACTGTCTAGTTCAGAAAGATATCGAATTACCTCAATTAAATGTCAAAAATGAACAACATGAAGAGACCTTGACAACTTTAGCTACTTTAGAATAAAATCTTAACCAAAATCGACAAAACATTGAAGAAAATCGAAAAACTACCAATGATTTTACTTGCCTCGACCCAATTCTGCTTTATTACCTCAAAAACGTAGATATACAAATTGTCAAACTTTGCCTGTCGAGCTTCCAACTGCCGAACATAATGATACAGCAACAGAAACTTCTGAATTTGATACTGAGGATTATGATAACTTATCAAGTGAAACTGAGCAGGATTATGCTGAAAATTTAGAAGATTACTTATCACCTGACTACGAACCATTTAAAGATCCAACTGTTTCAGAATCAATGAACAATAAATGATTTTTATGGATTTTAATATGGATCATGAATTTTCGAGTAAAATTCCATATGTCAGAAACAGCTACCGAAATTCTGATCAAATTTATGAAAATAGTGTTAAAAGAAATCAGTGGTGATGACTTTGATAGTTTCCCTGACTCGCTTTATTTGGCAAGAAAGGAACTTGATCTGAAAGATCAATTTTATAGTTCTGTGGTATGTTCGAAGTATCACAAATTGTATCAGAAGAAAGTGGTAGTAAACTTCCAGCAGGCCGAATTTCTAGCAATTATGGAGTGTTAACACATTGAATATCCAAATTCAACAAGTCAGAAAACGCACTTATGTCAAACGCCATTATCTCAACAAACAAAATTATTAGATGGTCGAATAGCCAATTAACCTAAACTAATATATCTATTTTTTAGGATTCGTCAGCAGCTGGTTACTTTATATCATCGACCAGGTTTTGAAAGTTTCCTTAGACATTGGGCAAATCGGTCAAATTTTGATGTTTTAACCGATATATACGATGGCCAAGTCTAGAAAAATTTTAAAGAAACAAGTGACAAAGAATCGCCAAATTTTTTCTGAGATGAAGTGGCCGATTCGCATCTCAGGCTGATGCTGAACCTTGATTGGTACCAGCTATATGACAGAACTGTCCATAGCACTGGTGTCATCTATGCTGCAATTTGCAACTTGCCTCGTGATTTATGATTCAAACACGAAAATCTATTAGTTCTTGGTCTTTTATCTGGGCCAAATGAGGATAGTTTACACAGAATTAATCACTACTTGGCACCAATTGTTGACGAACTTGAGTCACTTTAGGGTGGAGTGACTCTAGATCGCATATTTGAGTATTAAGAAGGAAGATATATTTGTGCAGCTTTAATCCTTGTTTCCTGCGATATTTCAGCTGCGAGAAAGATCTGCAAACATGTTTCGGCACTCATTTTATGTCACAGATGTGAAAAAAAAGCGAACTACGAAAATCGACAGCATAACTATGCTGGAATGGATAATATGAGTGAGTGGTTCTTCGTTTAGGATTCAAAACAACACCGCCAAAATGCAATAGACTGGCGACGTTGCAAATCTAATGCAGAAAGAGAGAGATTTGTTAAGGAAAATGGTGTAAGGTGGTCTGAATTACTTCGGTTACCATACTTTGATCCAATTCAGTTCATTATCATCGATCCGATGCATTGCCTATTCTTAGGCATTGCAAAATGGATTGTAAAACGAATTTGGATTGAAG